AGGTACCGTTACATCAGCAATCACACGAGTAGGATTTTCTTTAAAAAATCTTGTAAATAAGTGTTCCCAGCTTTACTCCTATGATTCTTTAATATCTGACTCCAGGCAAAAATTGTGAGTGCACCCAGTTAATAACAGTAATGGCTGAGATCTTAAGTTACTTAAAAATGACTCCTATACTTGAGCATACATTAAGTATCACAATCTAATTAATGGACCACATTTACCTATCACAGAAAAGTAAGGGGCACAGGGCCTTCCTCCACCATGAGCGTTGTAGTACAAGAGGACAGGGGGATGGTGTTGGACTTTTCCCTAGACACTAGCACTAGTGCTAGACACCACTTAAGTGTACTATTGAATGTTTAGCCTGTATCTTATTACCAGACCTGGAGAGGTTTATAACTGTCGATTGTTTCTCTTTTCAGCCAACTACACACTGCCACAAGGTTGTAGTATAGTGATCGCCCCACTCTCCACCCACATGAACCCAGCTTTGTACCCGGACCCGGAAAAGTTTGACCCAGAAAGGTTTACGGCAGAGGCAGTTGCTGCGAGACATCGCTACGCCTACATTCCCTTCAGTGGGGGTCCACGGGGCTGCATTGGTAAGATTCACTTTTGCTTCGTAGATTGATCTAAACTATGAATCGTCAATTCATAAACTACAATTTTTGTTTTAAAATTGTATTGATTCATTCATAAACTGTAAACAGCAAACATGACATTGACAAATAGCTACTACTACGGATGCTCAAACATGTTTCTTGGTAGTTGTCCTAAATTTACGTAGGTGCACATTTCAGTACAGTCTAATACATTGGAAAGGTATTCTCAAACATAACTATACTTTAGTTCCCGTCCACCGTACAGAGAGTCATAAGCCATGTATTCCAAATTTTAGTTTCAGTGACACAAGCCTAAAATGTAAAAACAATCAGGACCCGTAACACTTTTTACTACTAATTTTGACCAAAACAAAGTCAAAAATTGAAATGATTAGTTAAAAATACCAGAGTATTGGTAATATAAAATAATTGTGGAGAAATGTTTTTGCCACCTTCAAGAAGGTAGCAGTTGACGTAACCCACATGGAAATTAACATGATGTTTCCAGTACCATAGTGTTGATAGGACCACTATTTCCCATAAGACCTGAACTACTTGTGAAAATAGAATTGATCACTAGTTAGAGAGGGTTACAAAATAGTTAGAAGTTTCTAATCCTTGGTAGTATCTAACATTGTAATTGAACCACACACATTTTAAGATATTAAGCTGAATGCACAAAATTATGTTAGTTTTCAATGCTTTTCTAACGACAATCAGAACACCTTAAGAAATAGTTAATTTGTACTTCCCAAAAGGTCTGTATTATAGAAGTAAGAATGAAAGAATGACCTATTTTAAATGATCTTATAAGTTTAGTAAATATTTCGATGCCCATCAAGGTTTTGCACTAAATTTTATTGAGTGACTGAATTTCTGATTTCTTTGAATTTCCAGGATCAAAATATGCAATGCTGTCCATGAAAACTACAATATCTGCTATTCTAAGAAGCTACAAACTCTTCACGGATATTAAAATGGAAGACATCAAACTAAAGATAGATTTGTTGATGAGGAGTGTGAATGGATTCCCGATTCGACTTGAACGTCGTAAATCAGAGTTTACGTGATCAACATTGTAACTGTTACAATGTTAAATTTGTAAATACTTCCAAGACTTTCTGGTAGAGCATCATATTAATTTATTTTGACATGTTTCCAGAGTATATCATCCATTGTGACATTGTATGTGATTTTCTATCATTACGGTTGAACAAGTCGCTAGGTTAGATAATTTTGATTGTAACAATTAGTATTATTTTTAGTATTTTGATGATGTGATAGACGTTGCATGATGTGTATGTTATTTTTATACTGTACATATTTTTCTAGTTGCTTTATGTTGTTGATTTAGTAATTTTTATTATTATTTATGATGTGAGAAGACACTCCTTGAATGTTAAAAGAATTATTTGCAAAAAGATGGTTTAATGGTGTTGGATGATTTTTTCACTATCTGTATTTACAGATTTGTATGTAGTACAGAATATTACAGTAAAAGTGTTATTTATTAATGATTAATGATAAGATTAAGTCAGCCGTCTCAGTAACAGAATATTGTAACTACAGTGAATACCACAACTGTTATTAAACACATAATTTAGCCATGTTAAATCTAATTATTACTAGGTAATTTATGATTGATATGTATTACATTCTAAGACTCAAAATAAAATAAATTAAATTATGTAATTCACCACTTTGTCTTTAATTACTACAAAACCACATTGCAGATTTATTGCCTTAAGAATGTTAACAAGGATTGGAGGCGGTGTGTTGGTGTGTTACTACCTATGATCATTTAAAACCCATCATGGGGTAGCTACAGTAACTCATGTTCACAAAATGTAAAAAAAAAAAAACTTAGCTTAAGGGGTTTTGTCTTACTTCCACCCAAACACACTGGTTGACAATAGTTATGTAAAAAATTAAACCAGAATAAATTAGAAAAGTCCTATAACTGAAAAGAAGGTTTGTTTTCAAACTAGTGTTATCCGTTTTTGATGGAAAAATATCTTCACTTTCATCTTATCCATTATTAATTAGCAAAGGATGTATCATATTTGAAGATTTTTGTGGAGATGGTTCTTGGAAAAACTTTAGTAAAACATCCTATGTCTTACTTGTGCATCCGCAACCTTGTTAATTGACTACTCATAGTCCAACAAAAGACAAATAACTTCATTTACATGTTCATTTATAAAGCTTGCTAATTAAATTTAATTTTCTATCCTGTTGAGCTGAACAAAGGAACTTAGTTAGTTTGTTACAGGCAATGACAGCTGATCCACGGCCACCTTTAACTCCAGGCCATGGCCTGGTAAATTGGCAACGTCGCAAGTAGTGTTGTTTAGCGCCAGATGTACCATAAGATAACATGGCAGACAGGTGACATATTCATTATTTTGTGTATTATTAATTTGAATATTTATTAATTAAATTTATAAACATGTTCATAAGGTTTATAAACATGAATTTATCAACATATCTATATAAATAAAATTAGAGTTTTGTCTGTAAATTGCTCAGAATGATATATTTTTAGGTTATTTTTACGTTTTATACATTAAAGAAGCAGAAACAAGTCTTATATCTATTTCTGTCTGTCTGTCTGTAACACTCAAGATGGCATTTTACGCAATCTTCTCCGTGAAAACAAGAGTACCTATCAAGATCCAAGTCATTTTAATGTATTCACTGGATTGACGAGAGTGTCTTTAGTGATTAAAATATGGCCTCACTACTTTGTAAATAAAATTACGGACGTTCAAAAAGTACGGTTGTTCGATTTTTGTCAAATTTTCGTTCAATTTTTATCACATAATCGTCTATGAATTAACGAACAGCTGTCCGGATCAAGATTATTTTTCTAGCTGTCACTGGTATGTTTACAAATGTTGTTAACAAATACCGCAACCATTTCCGATCACGTTTTGAAGGCAAATCCCATCCAAACGGGATTAAAAACGTTTTTCTTACATAACGGATTTAATTAATCGCAAGTGGAATAATATAGTGTAACCGTAAATGAAATTAAATAACTAGGCATCATCCAGGTCAGGAATCATAAATTCTTTGTGTATGAAATTGTTCTTGAGTTTTGATAACCAGAAAAAAGACCTTGAATCAGTGTTGTATGGCTGGGACACTTAATGATCGTCGCCAATAGCTTACAAACAATCAATCGGCGGCGCTTCAATGGCGATAAAGTAAAAAAATTTGGTTTGGTGTAAAGTAAAAAAATCACAACTGCAGTGGGTGATTGTAATAGAGGTTTACGGATGATGCTAAACTCGCGTTTCCAATGTGTCACTTTTTTCTACTCACCGTGTAATGCAATTGCTGGACCATACAGCCAATAGGCCCATAGCCCATCTCTTGGGTACGTACGCCTACCTATTTATTCATCTAACAACCTTTTCGACGACGATCCTTGATACCAGCAATTTTCCATAGAATACATGGCCTACCTACCTACCTACTTAAGAAATAAAATTACAAATGCCCAAAAACCCAACATTGTGTGATTTTTGTCACATTCAACTGACTACTATAAGATCCCCGTACGTAGAACGGGCACACAGCTAGTTGAAAATAAAACGAAAAAAAGGAAAATCTATTTCTGTACATTTAAAAAGTAGTCAATATTTTCACAGCCCAGTTACCAAGCTTATGTATAAAAAAAAACACAAATACCATTAACTGCCTCCAAACAAAACAGCTGTTACAACACTACTTGCAACTTTGCGACTTCGAAGTCTGCGGTCTGGAGTTAAAGGATCACTAATTGTTTGATTAGAAGTGAATTAATGACATTCATGGATCTCATCTGTAATAGGCTATTTTTCGTTTTTAGTGATAATGGGATATTATTTTAAGAGAGTGATAAAACAATATTTATTCACAAAAGTTTTACTTCACCATTGTACATCCAGTTTCTGTGATAGCTAGTAATTTGCGAGTACAACGCTTTACAAAGTCATTTTTTACTAACTGGTAAAATATAAAAAGAAAGGTTCATCCATATGACAAGAAAATCTTATATCTCAATACAAAAGATTATGAAAACCCTAAGATATTTGATTGCAGAATTACATGTACAAATATTTGTTTTTTGTACCAAAACAACTTCTGATAAATGCCCGATGTGAGGTGCTTGTCTAGTGTTTCGAATAAGCTAGTTAAACATCATACTTTCAATTATCATTGTATAAATAAGTGTACTAATTATTACAGAGGTTAGTTAGGAAGGTAACTATTATGATTATACTGTAATTATAACATGATTGTGCGCAAATAAAAATAATAATTGTGCCTTGAAATCCTAAAATAATTGTTATTCAAATAAATACAATAGGTATACTACTTACTTAGATGTATTACCATTGACTAACCAACACAAGTAGACTTCTCATCCCATTGTAAATTTTGAAGCACGTTTTTCATGTCTAGTTCATGTACGGTGTCACTGGGCACTAGTGTCGACGAAATTTTGTTTATATTATTTTAGGGTTAATTTCTTGATTTGTGCTTCACTGTTTGGTTATATAAAAAGGGGAAAATTTATTGTTTATGATTAGATCGTATTATTTGGTTAGAGGAGGTTTTAAATTACTGTAATAACAAGAAACAAATTGTAAACAAAACACGACCTCTACATAAACCGTACAGAACTAACGATAAAATTGTCTTCAGCTGTTCCATAAGGATGAGAAATCTACTAAGGGAGTATGTTTTATCTATGGTATTACCTTATACTGTTTAGTTATCACCTAAAATAACGACAATAAAATAAATAACAATCAATGCAAAATAATTGGATGTGATTATAAACAGAGATATCATAAAATTTATTTAAATATAAACTGTTAAAATAAAACATACATAGAGAACTTTGTTAAAAGTTAAAATATGTATAACAGTTTGAGAGTTCAAAACAATAAAAAAATATATTAAGTTAAAATATTCAGGAATGATTGTTTTAGTTTTAAAACGTAAATATAAAATAGGTTGTCTTTAATCAATCCTGGAGGCAATGCTGAATAAATTTTAAACGTAACTTAAATACAACAAATTACAACCATAACCATTAGACTCTAACACAAACGGTAAATTCATTACAAAACAACATAGATTCAATAGTTTTAAATTGATGTATATTAAAAATACTTCTTTGGTAAAAACAGATCAGATCTATTGTATCAGTAAAAAATGCCAAAGGCCTATTAATTAATACTTAATACATAAATGTCTAAAATACAAGATCAGTTCCTTAAATACTAACTTATACTAACAATAAAAATAGATTCTTGATTTTCCTAGATCTTTTATGAATGGTAGCAAGTTCTTTACAATGTGTATAAAATATTTTGAATATTTTGATAAATGGTTTACAACTAAAACCATTCTCTCAAGACTCCCCTCTACTTAGTCTGCCATTCTTATGACACCATTTTAATTGAAAATTTATTAAATTAGAGTAAAAACTCAATGGCGTGATTTTGACAAGTGAGTAAAGTATTCCTATGGACTGATTTCTATGTGAGTATCTGGGTTAATCATAACACAAATATGTTGAAACCATGTAATGTATGTTGGTCTGCATGAATTCTGAACGGTTTTTTTTATATTGTACACAAATATATATATTTTATATTTTTGTTTTATAATTTGGTTAGCACAAAAAAATGCAGTGTGGCGGAAAATATAGAGAACCATAGTTCATCATATGGTTATACAGTAATTTCAGCCCTCATTTTTTTTCTGTCGCCTTAAGAATCACTTGAATACCCGAGTTAGCGGAGTGCGTATTCGAGGATCTATCAATCTATATACACAATAAGGGTTTTCTCTGTTACATCCTCTTTTCAGCTGTCCACCTTAACCAATTTTTACGATTAAGGTGTCATTGTAAAGATTATGGTCTAGCGAAGTGATGAATGGCAACCAAAAAGGTAATTTCCTTTAGGGCTCTTAGCGTTTTGTTTTTTAGAGAATTTGCTGTCAAAGATTCAGTGATGCTGACTAACTTTTTTTAACGGTTTGGATGTGAACAGCTGATCATTCAGTTGAATGTTTAACTAGTCAGATTTTAAACAAGAGACCCAACAGCATTTGAAAATGGATTAGGTTTCTTCTTTATAACATAACTGTAACCTGATAGAGACATCACTTTTCAATTTCATATTGTAGATCTAAAAGCAACAATTTACTTTATTGTAAATTAATTGGTTTATTCACCTAATAAGCGTCTCAAAAAAACATAATCTTTGAAAGTAAAAGGGTATTACATTTTTTGCTTTGCCTTGGAATAGAAACTTACTTAAAATGCGCAATTTACAAATGGGTCCTCGTCATCAGTATTCAGGCCTTACACTACTTATCTTAATGACTAGGTTATTTGAGCTCGTAGCAAAAGTCGTAGTTGGGAGGGTCGTCAGGTATTGGAGGTGGCTCTTGTGGAATATCGACCCCTTCAGCGTCCAACAGTCGCAGTTTGATCTCCATAGATAAGAGGATCCCAAGGTCGTTCTCCGTCTCCTTACTTGTCATCTTGTTGCCTAACACATTGCCAAATGTTCATTTTTCTTTCGTTTCGGGAATAGCAAATATTTGTTTACTTGGATGTGTGCAAAAATACTTCGACAATGAACGGAAAAACAGTGGCAGCGAAAAATTCCTTGGTTTGGAACTGGATATTAATATTTCTTGGGGTAATTGTATTGATAATATTATTAGTACATTAAATTCCGCCCGTTATCAAATGCTAATACTACGTAATTATATTGACCTTAAAACTAGAATTGAACTATGGGATTGAGTTCTGGGGATTATCATGTGATTCAGTTAAAAGTTATTAGTAATATTGACTCTTTCCGTAAGATTACAGACCAATTAAATGAACTCCTTTTCCTTTAGTGAAACAGGCTTTAACATGATCAAAGCTCATGAACAAGAAACAATTGTAAGACTCCTAAAAAACCTTTTGGGCAACCTAAAGCCTATGAAAGGATAGAAAATATTGTATTCAAGAAATTCATCAACGTTTTTTAAGGTACACAATCGTCATATGCATAATTATGTTCATCCTCCCTTCATATAACTAAGATTTTAATAACTTCACTCTATCTATCGCAGTTAGCTGAATTTATTTAAAACCTCAAGAGTAACCGTCGGTTTCGACGGGTTTCACCTAGTTTATTATAATTTGACAATGTTACCTGTTTTGTAGCTATGCTATGTATAAATGTTTTGTGACAATAATGATTGATTTAATTTGAAACACAAACACCTATCCACACTAAACGAGATTTGGCAAGTCGCTGCTCGGTGCTTGGCGAATGGCGCATGTCTGGAGCCACCTTCAACCAAAGAAAATAGAACCTAAAGCAGAAGTCTATCTGAGCCATAAAAAGCGTTGCGTTTGAACTGCTAGTGTCTACTCCCAATCCTAGTAGCGCTACTGTCGCTCACTGGCGCGCTACTCCACAAGTGGGGGCGGTGGGAGAGCGGTCTGACGTCACTACACCGCGCTCTCTCGCCCTCCCCCAGTTCTCCTCACGTGTTGACTGTTGATAGCCGAGTGCCGAGCTGCCGCGCGCCGGCCTAGTGATTGTTGCTGTCACCAGTGTTGGCTTGTATTACAACTCAGTTAAAAGTGTGTTTTTGTTTTTAGTTTTTAATTTAATTTAAAATTAGTTTTACTGAAACGCTTTTAATCAGCCATGTTATGTTCACCTCAGTTAATAAGTCTGTTAGCTTTAAATTTTTTTAGTAATTTTGAGTTCGTTTTTTGGATAGTGTGGTTGGTGTGTTATCAGATAGGAATATAAACTATACTTATTCATTTGCAAAACTCTACGTTTATCATCATGTCTTTTACAAAGTGTTCCTACAAAAGTTGTTCGAACAGTTCCGCAAAAGTTAAAGGATTGAAAATGTTTCGGTTCCCAAGAGATAGCTTACTGTCTCAACAGTGGGTTCAACTATCAGGTAAGTAAAACGTGATCACCTAAATTCAATTTTCAAGTATTTTAGTAATGATACTATGGATCCTGGGGATTTGACTTTAGCTATATAGCCTACATCAGCAAAGTAAAATATTTTGACCAAGTTTTAAGTAGCCTGTTCATTTTCACGGTACCATCAGTTTGTACAGAGCGTGTATAAACAGTTGGCCACAGTATGCGTATGTTATAAAAGTAACATACCGTTAAAAACAATAATAAACATGATGCCAAAAATAACTAATAATTACACTGTTTGCTAAGCTACATTATAATATAGCGATGAGTAATATTGGTTTATAGGCCTGCAGTACTAGTTAGTAGTGACCATGTGTATTTGTGTATTTTTGCATTTTTGTGGTACTTTAACTGTAAGTGCGTATACAATACTATAGAGAAGTCAGACTTCAGACTATATTGTCATGGTGGCGGCGTTTTATTTCGTTTGAACCGTGTTTTTCTAGCTACAGCCACTATTATGGCTTTCCAAAAACAGCCCTAACGGTCCTAGGTCGGCTGACAAGGTTGTAAATCCACCCCCTGTCAGGTGGCGTGCCTAGATGGAAGGAATGGCACTTAGAGGTTGCTATGGACAATTCCGTTCTTTTACCTACATTTATTGCAGTTCACTATTTAACAAACAATAAAAAATTACATTGCAGTATTATATTGATAGGTTGTAATTTATTGTAAATGCTAACATGTACAACAATGCATTAGAATAGTAACAGGAATTTCACGTGCCAATAAATAAATAAAGTCTGGAAAATACTAAGTTAAGGAGATGTTTTATTGTTATCCTTTTTAACTTTTTGGGTGTAACAACTATAGGATCTGTCAATAAACTGTACATTAATTATACTGTATGCCTACTTGTTTTATGTGGTTATCTCGTATCGTAAAAAATATTTTTTTTCCTTCGGTAGGCTTAATGAATTTAACTTGTATGGTTTAATAATAATATGTACTTTGTCTACAATATCTCCAGCTTTTATTTTTGTTATTTTTATTATTAGTGATTTTACTTAAAAACGCATAAATTAATTGACATAAATATCATATATTTAACAACAACACTACTAAACGGTTTTGATTGTATATTACAGTCATTGTAACATCAAACCAGATGTTCAACCCCCATATTGCTGTTACACTCACAGATTAGAAATTATTGCAATGTTTGTGACTCCCCCCAAAAAATTAGCCTTATGTTTTGATCATGCATTGATGTTTTATGTTATTGTTACAATTAATGTTTTGCTTATAAAAGTAGTAGTTCAATTTCCATATCAAGCTAATAAGGAAAGGTATCTGTGACTTGGATGATGCAATTTATTTTATTTATATTTCAGGCAATGCTGATCTTATCGGACTGTCTCCAATGAAACTGAACAAAAATAGAAGATTATGTGAAAGCCATTTTCAAGAAAAATTCATACTTCCCAGTGGTCGACTTGCATTTAATGCCCTTCCCAACTGCTACACTGCTCCTGATGAGGACACGTCTTCTGGTTCGACTGGAGTTTTATCAGCCAACAGTAGAGGTATAACATTCAATAAACTATATCTTTACATTTTTCTTACCGATTCCACTACGACCTTACAAATGTATTAACGCATTTACAGAATTTAAGCGGTTTAAGGGAAGAAATCTATCCCCTCCACGTCTTGAGTCTGGTTCAATTAAATCGAATGTATATTTGCTTGTTCACATATAGAATGTCTATTTGGAGTACCTTTCTAAAGTCAATGGTGCTAGCCTATTTCCGGCAACCGTAATTGTTTGATTATTTTGCAGTAAATTATGCTCAACTATATTAATTTGATTAATGTTCTCTTTTGTTCTTTATTTATACATGTGACATTTTAAATTATTAGTAGACCAACAGACCAACTCTTTTGTTTACATTTTTATTGTTATCTCGCAAATAATGTCATGGGGACCAATAAACCCTTAAGACCCATGTTCAATTTCTAAAAAATTGAATACACATAGAGGCAAGCTATTTAGTCCAATTTGTAACATTTCGGATTTATACCTTCCCATAATTGGTTACTATGGATGTGCTAAATTTCATGTGGATCGCTTCAGCCTTTTACTTGGAGTATGTGCAAAAAAGCAGGGGTGTAGTTTCATTTAAGAGAGTTTCATTTAATTAAGCAGGTAAAAGTGGGGGGGAATTCCCCAAAACCGCCAACATTTTATGAACAGACTATAATACATTAATACTGCGAGAGTTAGGCTTACCGTAGGTGGCACAGTAAGACCTAGGTCTGGGACCCGATTTACTTTTTCATTTTTATGTCCCCAGAGGCCAAAAAGACCATTCGTTCAAATTTGTATGTATGTATTTATATATAGGGTTATATGTGTCCGTGAACGCGATAACTTTGGTTTGAAGGTGTAAGGCGGGATAGACTTGAATGAGTTTGGGAACCAGCATGATCGGACTATGGGAACGGGGTTTAGCTAATGTTTTATGGGGTAAACATTTTTATAATTTTTTCCCTTAAGACACCAAATTTATCAATATATCTCCAGACCTTTTTAAAGAGCTTAAAGAATTTAGTTTATCAAAGTGTTTTAGTACGGTTATCGGTTACGGAGAATATTCAAAAAATTGTTCATTTTTAATTTTCATGTTATTCTTAAATAGTCCAGTCAAGGAATGAGGTGTAGAGTGCGTGAGCAGGTAACTAAGCGATTCCTTCAGAAACTTGTTCAGGGGGCTTAGGGTGTTAACATACCAAAAGTCCTGACTCCTAGGTGGTGAGCCAGGGGGTGGAGGGGGAAAAAGGGGGGGGAGAAAGGTACGCATTTTGGGTTTTTTTATTATATCTTGAAAACTATCAACTTTTTGTATACTATAGTAAATTATAAAATTGAAGAAGATTAAATTTTCTACAAGAAAAGTATATAATGTGTTTATTTTGGTTCAACAGATTACGAGTTATAACTTATTTAATTGATATCTTATTAAAATCTCCTTCAATAAGAAATACATATAAATTAGTATGCGAAATGGGGCGAATCCTATCCGCCCAAAGGAAATATAAATGATATTCTGGAAATCTTGACAAAATTTCCAGTAATTTGACACTTTAATCATTAAAATTGATCCAAAATTTAAGGCGAGGGCGAGGTAACAAAATGTCGAGTTTTGGTGTTTTTTTATTGGAAATATAAAAAAAAAACTTAAATTATCCCATTTTTAAACGCTCACCCTCCCTTTAATTTTTGACAAAATTTCATGATTAAAGTGTCAAATTACTGGAAATTTTCTCAAGATTTCCAGAATATCAGTTATATTTCCTTTGGGCGGATAGGATTCGCCCCATTTCGCATACTAATTTACATGTATTTCTTATGGAAGGAGTATTTTAATAAGATATCAATTAAATAAGTTATAACTCGCAATCTGTTTAACCAAAATAAACACATTATATACTTTTCTTGTAGAAAATTTAATCTTCTTCAATTTTATAATTTACTATAGTAGGTATACAAAAAGTTGATAGTTTTCGAGATATAATCAAAAAACCCAAAATGTGTACATTCCCACCCCCCTTTTTCCCCCCTCCACCCCCTGGCTCACCACCTAGGAGTCAGGACTTTTGGTATGTTAACACCCTAAGCCTTCTGAACAAGTTTCTGAAGGAATCGCTTAGTTACCTGCTCACGCACTCTACACCTACTTTTGGATCATTCATTGACTGGACTAAAAGAAAATTTTGTAAAATGTTGTAGTTGGCTTGTTTATGGATATATTTTGATCCAACTTACCAGATCCGAAGTTTGTTATTGAAACCTTAGGCGTTTTCTGCTAAAGGTTAGCAAAGCAATACTAATTTACAAAAAACCTATTTACGAAATCCGTCGATAGACAAATGTTACCTACCTTATGTGGCAAAATATGTCAGAGTAACTATTCTGTTATAATATATTCAGTTTATTTCTTCTACTGTATAGCTTGGTTTCAAAATCATTTACTGAATGCAAAGTTTTCTTTACAGAAGCCTTGCCTAGCACCAGTACTGCCCCTGGAATCACAACTCCAGTGAAAACCCCGAGACATCCACCTCCTGCTAATGCTGCTACTACGACAGGAAATTTCATTGGTACGCTACATAACACGTATAAAGAATATTTAATATTTTATATTTCTCTTACCCACCAATTCCACCATGTTTTATTTTTAATTATCTGTAAAAAAATATGCAATTTGTGTAACATTTGGACAGAGCTGAAATATTGCGTATTTACACTCTTTTAAGCTTGTTTATTTGATTAGAATAATTTAAAAGCCTGATTTCATCAGGTTGTGAGAATTGGTGTTTTTATCATTCACAATTGGGGTTTGTTTTAAAATTTAAAAAGTTTCAATCCTAGTTTGTTCTGTAATTTGTATTAATCATCAAAAAAATTACAATCCTTAGAGGTAAAGGAACCAATACCAATTCTTGCTAAGAGTTAGCAAGCAATACAGACTTACAAAAAACCTATTTTCCAAATATTTTGATGAATATCACTATTATGGCAAAATATGTAAGAGGAATACCAAAAAACATAATTGCCAACTTGTACTACTTGGTTTCAATACCATTTACCATAAGCAATTAATATAGCCTATTTGTTTTTGTTACAGAAATACCTAGCACCAGTACTGCCCCAGTAATCATGACTCCAGTTAAAACCCCGAGACGACGTCCACCTCCTGCAGCCACCTCGACAGGGAATATCATAGGTTCGCCTTCAAAAAGACCCCGTTTGATTTCACCCTCACCTTCACCCGTACTATTACGCCAAACCAATTCTCCCAGACGCTATCACAGGCAAGATTTTTCAACACCATTACAATCACCGTTACTGCAAACATCTTTACATTCACCAGTAGTAACAACACCGTCATCAACTTTTTGGATTTCGAATGCATCAACAACAAACAAAACAATCTCCGGACAAGCAGACCAGCCAAGGAGCCAAAAGAAAACTAAACAGAACGTTATTTAGTAACTCATCAAGTAGTCAACCCGATAAAAATATAGAAACTCTACAAAAAAAAACTTGCTGTTAAAAGAGCCACTATTTCTAGACTAAGACGGACACTTTCAGAAACAAGAAATAAATTCAAAAGATTCCTCAGTTTATAATAAAACTCCAGCAAGAACCAAAGGCGGGGCATTACTAATCGGTATGCAATCACCACAAAAGAAGACAACCGTGGTCAAAAAGTGAAAAGCTGTATGCCATATCATTGTACTTGAGATCTCCTTCATGCTACAAGTACTTATTAAAATCAATAGTTTTGCCCTGGTGTTTCAACATTTAGGAAGTGGATTTCATCTAAAGAATGTTTCAAGCCTGGATTTAACAACCAGACTTATCCAACAAATTAAATGCAAAGCAAGTAGCATGGTGGAGATGGAAAAGTCCTGTGTACTGATGCTTGATGAGATGGCCATAAAGCAATCTTTGGAGTATTGTGCAAGCTATGACTTGGTTGAAGGGTATGAAGATTTGGGATGTCTCGGGAGAAAACAGTAAAGTTGGAAGGCAGGCATGTGTATTTATGATTAGGGGCCTGTATTACCACTGGAAGATGCCGATTGGCTATTTTATAAGTAGGTGAATGGTCTTACAGGTTCCCAGACATATAAATTAATCAGGAATGTGTCAAATGTTTATCAGATGCTGGTCTCCATATAAAAGCAATAGTCTGTGACCAAAAACAGCACCAACAGAACTGCTTACAATTTGCTAGGGGTGGCATGTTCACAACCATGGTTTGAATGTGAAGTGAGTTAAAATCCACGCTTTGTATGATGTGCCACATTTAATTAAATCCATAAGAAACAACCTCCTCACACATGACTTCTGTTTTAACGGCAACACCATCAGTTTCACCGACATCAAAGAACTATTTACAATAGACCAACAGCAGTACATACAACTAGAGCAGCTCCAAAACTCACCCCTGCCCATATAAATCCCAATGTCTTCCAAAAGATGAGCGTATGTCCCTCTAGCAACACAGGTCCTCAGCCATGACCACTGCATCAGCACTGCGGACAGTTGTTGGAACTGGCCAACTGAAATCAAGAACTGCCCTACACCGCTGATTTCATGACTTTATCAACTCTTTGTTTGATGTATTGAATAGTAGAGTTTGTTAAAACTAAAAATCCGATACCTGTGCATTGAGCTTAGAGAATGCCCATACTGTAAACATAATTAAGAAAGCGATTAATGTTGTTTGAAAACCTCAGTAAAACTCAACAGCAAGAACCCCAGACCACCTTGTTTTCCTGGAATCCTTTTAACAGCAAATTCAATTCTATCACTACTCAACAGGAACCGTACAAATTATTACTGACCAGCAAGATAAAACCAGGATACCCTTGAAAACCTATTTTCAAGCATCAGGCAACGAGGCGGGTGGAACAAAAAACCCAACTGTCCGGGTATTCCGTAGCTCCCTGAGGGTTGTTCTGCTGCAATACTTAATTGAACCCCTTAAAAACATCACTACGAGCCTGACGTAGAGAATGGTATTGGACATTGGCGATTCATCCTCCAAGCTCACAGCCATGAGACAGAAGACCAACCTATCCCCTGAACTGAAAGAAGATAGTTTTAGTGTAGAGAAGAGTGAAGAGATGTATTGATATGACGTTTGACGATTTTGATCATGAGAAGGTTGGCCAGTAAA